CCCCACCCTGCCCCCATCCCACTATATGGTTCCCCGCCTGCTATTGCTATCCCACCCCACAACGGCTATACTGCCCCGCTATACCACCCCCAGCCTCACTATATTGTGTGGGACCCCCCAGTCTGAACTCAGCCCCTCCATGGGAGCTGCTGGCACATGACAACCCTCCACGGTCCTTCTAGGCCACGGGGAACAGGGCACAGTGCAGAACTGTAACCAGCTCTGGAATGACTTTGGGGAGTCCCGAGCAGGCAAAAGGTTTTGTCGGAAGAGTTAAATGGGACCTTGAGCATCGTGTGCCCTCACCCTGCAGTAGCACCCGGAGCCCTGCGCACCGCAGGGAGGTAGCCAGCCACAAACCGGGGGTGTCTTCTAACATCTGGACCTCTCCGTGTTCCTCACGGCATCTCCACCGGAGCACGTGCCTTCCAGACAAGCTTCCTCAGCGCTTCCGTCAGCTCCCACCGCAGGGAAGGGTCAAAGGGAGCTCTGCTCCTCTCTTCCATGTCTTCCCAATCGCAGCCGCTGCAGCCGGGGGGAGCAGCGGGGGCTCTGGCAAACAGACTCAAGGACTCCAGCATCACACGAGCTCATCCAGGCTGAGCACCAGGATAGCACAGGCCATAAAATAGCATCAAGTTATCCTGGGAACTCAGGCTCAACGCTCCTCATGAAAGTAGAGAGGGAGTGCAAGCGATTGCTAGAAGGAAAAAAAAAAAAGTTTAAATATCTGTTTTAGTTCCCATGCATTTCCTGCAGCAGACAGAAATAATATACAAACGCACATCATAAAAAAAATCAAAAGCATGAGAAAATAGGGAGTTGAGCTTGTTTCCATCAGCTGAGCTTAGCCAGTGTCTCAGATGCCTGTGGAGTTGTTTGTAATGCCGCTTGAAACGCTTTTCTGCATTAGACAGCAGTGAGGAGCAGCAAACAAAAAAGCCAGTGATGCAGATCGGGATAGGACCATGGGAAATATCCACAAAGCAAGAGGCAAAGCCTTGGCTCGCACCAGTGTGAGCCGAAGAAAGCGAGCGAGGAGCGTATGACCCTGCCCTGGCGGGCCTTAACACAACCTGGCGTGGAGGAGACGCTGCAGCTAAGGATGCTTCAACCGCGAGTCGAAAAGGCAGCACGAGCGCTGCCCAACTCCTGCTCCAGGCTTTGCTGCCAGTCGGGACAGGATCACCTCCATCGCTCCGATGTAGATCCCAGCAAGGATCTCAGCCCATGGCGGCAGAGAGGCCAGCGAGCAGCAGATCCATCATATCACTGGACTGAGCAGGAGAAGGGGAAAGGGAGGGAGGAGGCAGCCAAATGGGGTCAGCACCTCCCTGAAGAGCAGCTCTGTGCACAAGCTCTGTTCGTGCAAAAGGAAGAGGTGCTGCACAGCAGTCTGGGCACCGCTGGGGCACACGGGCTTGTGTTCGGCCAGGGAGAGGCTTTATCTGTTTGCCGTGGCCCTCACATGCTGCACTCTGGGCTACTAATGCACTTTTATGTTTATTGCACTGCCCTGGTTTCCTATCAGCACTGATGGGAGAGGAGGGCTGTGGGAGGTTATCAATGCTTTGCATCTGGAAAAACTGGAAAATATCCATTTCCTGTAAACACTGAGGCCTAGGCTTGGAAAAAAAAAAAAAGCTCAAAAAACATACACCCATTTAACTTACATTCACAATTTTTACATATATACACAGTTACTGGACACCCCCAAAAGACACTGTCCAAAAGCCGTGGTAACAGCATACCCAGATTATGTAAATTCAAGAAGTTCATTCCTACTTCTTGTCACACTAGTCTAGACTTTCTTCATTAGTTTTTCCTCTCAGCACGCCTATTGGTCTACAATCAACCACCATCCACCTCCAAACTCCTCCAAAGCTATTTCAGTTCTGCATCTAAGCACAAGTGGGCAAACCAGAACTGCTCATTGTAGCCACAGGCTGATGCCCGACTCACTCTTCTGATCAGGGGGACTGACTTTCCCACTCTGGAAGAGGAATCACTGACGATGGCCAAACACCAAAGTAAAAAACAGTAACTTAATCAATAACCAGCAGTTCTCAACAATCCTGACTCTATATTTCTGTTTCATTTGCTGTTCTCTCTTTATTTTACTCCTCATGTATTTTACCAGCACACACTTGCTCTTCATTGCTTTTTGGGTGAAATTAAGCACGCTGGCTGCAAGGTCCCTGGAAATGAATCTATTCACAGCAGGCCTGAATTTGGTCCCCTGAGGCAGTAATTCTTAAAAGTAGGAATATCTGAGCAGTAAAAAAGAAGCCAAGTGAACAACTACCTGTCTGGCAAGCAGTGATAAGAGTTTGCTATTGCAAGAAAGTTTTTTCCCAGATGTTAAGATTTTCCTAGTGCTGGTGGCGATGGCTGAGAGACACCCAGTGGTTACGCACAATATCAGCAACTGCTGGTCACATTCCCTCTGATTCTCACTCATGTCGAGGCGATGGGCTGGAGTGTTTCAGTGTGTGCGAAGGCCAACGTACCCTTTACAGCAGGGAAATATCCCTTTGCATGAGCCAGGACATCACCGTCTATCCTGAAGGCCCATGGAACTGCAGCAACGTGCAGTGCTTGCTCCCATGTCCTGAAGAGAGAGATGTCCTGAAGAGAGATAAACTGGGGTTAAACTCAGCTGAGCTAAACCTGGTCTCGAGATATATTGCTACGACTTATTTTACAAGGTCAGACCAAACTTTCAAAGAATATTGGTGGCTTGAAACCGCCTTTGCAGCAGGCATTACTCGAACCCTTCGTGAAAAGGCCCAGGCCGCAGAAAGGTGCAGGTTGAACAGGTCATGGGACCAGCTCTGTTTTTTTGCAGAAAGCTTCAACTTTGCTGGATATTCCCTTGCTGTGATCCTTCTGCCCTTGTACATCATTTATTCTGTACCCACTACAGCAGTTTACACACAACTAACTTGCTGACCAAGAGGAAATATCAACTGGCCATTATACAGCTGTGTGAAAATAAGTTAGGTAACAAGGAGGAATTTTGTCACGCAACAAAAAGCAAAATGTTTTGTTTTCCACCACCAACAACGTTCCCCTTGGTCCTGACCCCAAAGGGCAGGTTTCAAAAGAGGCCGGTGCCGGGGTCTCAGCTTGACGGCTTGTCCCCTCCGCGCCCATCGCGCTGGCTGTAAAACC